CAAGTGCGACATTTGATTGGCTTTCGTTTGGCGGCTCCGCCCCCTCCACTGCCGCACCGCCAATCGCTGGCCGCCAAACGCGCGCGAAGGGCAACAGTCGCCGTCACCTCTCGAGACCTCAAAGACGACAAAGACTTGGAGTTCGAAGTGATTCGAAAGGAATTGGAAATTGAAAGACAAAGAGAAGAGACGACGGAAGAGGCGACGGAAGGGACGACAGACACGACGACGACGACAGGCGTGAGCACGTCGATCGCTCGCAAAGCCGATTGGCTGTTGGGCAGTCGGGGCGTTGCCTCCGCGGTGCCGAACGGCCGCCCTCGGCCGAAAGTGGAGATCGTTGAGCGCGCGCTGGAGTTGGAGTCGAAGATTAATGCGGAGAAGAAGCCGTTTTGTGGGCAATTGTCGCGCGTGGGAAGGATTGCCGAAAACGACTGGAATTTCAAGCCGTGGAACGAGAACTCGCTTTTCGGTCAGAATTGCGCGCAAAAGCGACCCATTGTTGACGCGTTTGTCTTTCAGAACCCAAAGTGACGCCGAAATCGCCGAAAGCCGTTTCGCGCGCGATCCTCGAGTCGCGAAAAGTAAGTTTGAATTTTATTCGCAAAGAACTAAGACTTTGTTCACAAAAGACGCAAATCGAGAGCAAACTGAAGGACGACTCGAAGGCGACGACAATGACGACGACGACAGACAAGAGGAGCAACGAATGGATCGCCAAAATGCGCGAAGAGTTGTCCCAGCGTATGGCGCCCGATCTCCACGCCCACAAGCGCGAGACGCGCGCCCCGTCACCACCGCCGCCCGCCGTCCCAACGATGACTGTGTCGCGCGAGTGCGTGCGTTGCGGACTGGAGGTGACGGGCGTGGAACGGATTTCCGTCTCCGGTCACGTTTTGCACCGGTATTTGACTTATTATGCGCTCCGGTTTTGCGTCTAAGAGTGGGTTGTCTTTCAGGTCATGTCTTCGGTGCACAAAATGTGGAATAAGTTTACGTTTAAACGAATTTCGAGAACAAATTCAAAATGAGTTTCGAAACGAATTGAAGTTTTTGTGTATTTTTTGTCTGAAAAACAATTCGCGAATCGATTCTCAAATGAAAGCGAAAGAAATGTTTTTGAAAACCAACGAAAGGGTGGACTTCCGCGAGAGGATTGAGTTCCAGAACGCGTCGGCGCAAGAGATCCAAGTCGTGAACAAGACTGCGCTCAACGCCGACGACGAGAAGCGCGACACCGAAGACGACGACTCGGCGACCGATGAGTTGGCGTTCGGTTTGAGTCAAAGCGACGACAATTCCAGCGAATGTGATATCGATTCGACGACTACTGAAGACAGCGACGACTGGGAAACGCAAACGGACGACGAGAGCGACGACGCCGTCGACGCCAATGTGGACGTCAAGCGGACGACGAGTGGCGACACGACGACGACGAAGACGACAACCGCCGCCAAGACGACAGCGATTGTGAGTGGGATTCCGTTTCCGAGACTTTCGTAGAACTGATTGTTTGTTTGAAGGGTTGTTATGACGACCGGAAAGTCGCGACAAGTGTTCCCGCAGTCCTGCGTCGGCCGCGAACGCGCCTCCTGTTGGCCAAACTCTTTCCCCACAATTAACACTTGTTTGGCTTTCGCTAATCCCTTAACCCTTTAATCCATTAATCGCTTCAAAACACTAATCCTTTAATCCGTGAAAAGCCGTCGATTTGCGTGACGCGCGAGACCGACAATAAGCCGGCGCTCAATAACAACAACGACGACAAACGCGACGACAAGAGCGACGACGAGAACGACAACCGGCGCGAGAGAGCCGTCGAAGTGCGCTATTTGGGCTCTTTTACCGAGAAATTGTTTCGCTCGCGCTCTCAGCCTATGATTGCCTTCAAAAACAAACTGCGATTTCGAAGCGACGCGAAGGCGACGGACGACGACACGGAAGACGACGACTCGACGCTTCCGTTCGCGGACTTCGGACTCAACGACGACGCCTTCGGACAACACTTCTCGCCGGTGCGCGCTCTCAAGGCGCCAATCATTGACTTCAACGACATTTAAATAAATAGAGATTTTATAATAAAAAACTTATTTTGAGTTTTGTTTCAATAATTGGTTTTCCTTTTCCTTTTTCAACGCTTTGTTCTCGTTTTCCAAACTCCGCACACGACTGTCCAGCGCCTGTACGCGGCGCTCCAGTTCCTCCATATATTCCTTCTTCTTGCGGCGCGACTCTTGCGCCGAAATCTTGTTTTTGATTTTGCGCCGAATCTTCTTCAGCGACCGTTCCTCCGATTTGGTTAAAGGGAAGCGCTGAGGAATGGGATAGCCTTCCGCCACGAGAGTGCGCTTCTCCTCTTCCGTGAGAACGACGGCCGACCCGTGAATGGCGTTCTTCGGNGTCGTCGCTCTTGTCGTCGCGTTTGTCGTCGTTGTTGTTATTGAGCGCCGGCTTATTGTCGGTCTCGCGCGTCACGCAAATCGACGGCTTTTCACGGATTAAAGGATTAGTGTTTTGAAGCGATTAATGGATTAAAGGGTTAAGGGATTAGCGAAAGCCAAACAAGTGTTAATTGTGGGGAAAGAGTTTGGCCAACAGGAGGCGCGTTCGCGGCCGACGCAGGACTGCGGGAACACTTGTCGCGACTTTCCGGTCGTCATAACAACCCTTCAAACAAACAATCAGTTCTACGAAAGTCTCGGAAACGGAATCCCACTCACAATCGCTGTCGTCTTGGCGGCGGTTGTCGTCTTCGTCGTCGTCGTGTCGCCACTCGTCGTCCGCTTGACGTCCACATTGGCGTCGACGGCGTCGTCGCTCTCGTCGTCCGTTTGCGTTTCCCAGTCGTCGCTGTCTTCAGTAGTCGTCGAATCGATATCACATTCGCTGGAATTGTCGTCGCTTTGACTCAAACCGAACGCCAACTCATCGGTCGCCGAGTCGTCGTCTTCGGTGTCGCGCTTCTCGTCGTCGGCGTTGAGCGCAGTCTTGTTCACGACTTGGATCTCTTGCGCCGACGCGTTCTGGAACTCAATCCTCTCGCGGAAGTCCACCCTTTCGTTGGTTTTCAAAAACATTTCTTTCGCTTTCATTTGAGAATCGATTCGCGAATTGTTTTTCAGACAAAAAATACACAAAAACTTCAATTCGTTTCGAAACTCATTTTGAATTTGTTCTCGAAATTCGTTTAAACGTAAACTTATTCCACATTTTGTGCACCGAAGACATGACCTGAAAGACAACCCACTCTTAGACGCAAAACCGGAGC